CATAGACTTACCGTATGACCCAGGAATCCCACTCCTGGGCTTGTATCCAGAAGGAACCCTACTTCAGGATGACACCTGCACCCCAATGTTCATAGCAGCACTATTTACAATAGCCAAAACATGGAAACAGCCTAAATGTCCATCGACAGATGACTGGATAAAGAAGAAGTGGTATATTTATACAATGGAATACTACTCAGCCATAAAAACTGACAACATAACGCCATTTGCAGCAACATGGATGCTCCTGGAGACTGTCATTCTAAGTGAAGTAAGCCAGAAAGAGAAAGAAAAATACCAAATGAGATCGCTCATATGTGGAATCTAAAAAACAAAAACAAAAACAAACAAACAAACAAACAAGCATAAACACAAAACAGAAACAGACCCATAGACACAGAATAGAGACTTGTGGTTGCCAGGGGGGCGGAGGGTGGGAAGGGATAGACTGGGATTTCAAAATTGTAGAACAGATAAACAAGATTATACTGTATAGCACAGGGAAATATACACAAAATCTTATGGTAGCTCACAGAGAAAAAAATGTGACAATGAATTTGTGTATGTCCATGTATAACTGAAAAATTGTGCTGAACACTGGAATTTGACACAACAGTGTAAAATGATTATAATTCAATAAAAAATGTTAAAAAAAGAGAAAGTGTCAGGGCTAGCTGGGTAAGGAAACTACCCAAAGGAACAGAAGAACTTGAGGCATCTGTTACAGCATTCCAAAGGCAGATCACTGTAAACAAACCTCCTATTTTGTTTAATCTTGGATTCTGAATCACAACCTAATCTCATCAGATATATTCGAATGTTATGCTAAAAATGTCATTTGAGCACAAGCAGAAAGGTGTGTGTCAATCTTATTTTGAAATCAGAGTCCTCTGTTACCTTTAAAGCCACCACCTATAAAGATGGCTTGAGCAGGTTTGATAAAAGAAGCTCAGAAATTTCAATGCTCTAATGTAACACCAGGCAGCTTTCAGCCTCAACTGTCAAGATGTTCTAATAAATGTAAGACAGCCCTAATATTACTAAGACTAACACACAGGTCAGTAATTATTGTAGTTCCCAAGAAGCTAGTTTAGAGAAGTAAACTCGTAATTATCGCAGCTACATTTTCACTACTAAGATTTCCATCCAGCAGAATGTGTTCAAGACAACACGTGCACATTTATTACCCTTTTGGCAGCAGGTGGTCTGGACACAGTGCCAGGTTATAGAACATGTCTTAGTGTTTCATTAGGGCCTTGTTGTGGCCATGGGGAACTTGGCACTATTTAATTCTTGCTAAACTCCAAATCAATAACTTGTTAAAGAAAGAAACTGTCCCCCCGAGGGGCTACCAGGGTAAAAAGTTACCAACCTCAGCTTGTTTGCACCAAACGCTGATGTTTTTACGCTGGGCTTTTGTGAAGTGGTCCCATGCCTTTTGTTTGGAGGCAGAATGGTACACAGCTACTATCTGCTCAACTGCAGCGTCAGAACAGCAATTGAATCAGCCAGAGATTCATCCAGTGATGGCAAAAAAAAGAGGAGAAAAGAAATAAGAGAAGTGTCAGGCTTGTTGTGTCTCCTTCTATGACACTATTAGACTATGGCTGTGCTCAGAAAAGGCTGTGTTGGGGTACCATGATTTTAAACGGGACTCAAAGGCAGAGATATCAATATACAGAAAGAAAAGGGAAGTCCGGAAGGTTTGGGGTGAAATGGTGACCAAAGTTTTAATACAGGCACTCTGTATTCATTCAGGCAGGAGAGGCAGGTGTCATGGTGAATATGAGTTAGTACTACTGACCCTGCACAGCATGACAGCAAGTGGCGAACTGTACCAGCTCCTTTTGACCACTGGTGTCTTTCATAGACTAGCCTTACAGAATGAGCCAGGATGCTTCACGTCAACAGAATTGTCCTTTTACTATTCTGAGATATGTTTAACCAGAAAGCATCAAATCAAAACCTAAGATGGATGAGATCTATTTTAAGTCTACCTAGATAGGCTCGGTGACTGGAGAAATACAAGTGTATTTCTGGGTGTTCATGGTAAGAAAATTCAAAAGTGTTATTTCTTTATTTACAGCCCCATTTGTCCCCTGTCTACTAATGATTTAAGGATTTATATTCCCAGGATTTTTGCTACTCTCTTTTTCTATTTATTCTGAAGTCCTAAAAACATATGCTTTCTCCTCCTGGATTCTACGCCCATAGAAACTTTCAAAATAAAAATGGAAAAATGAAATAACTCCTCCTTAATCCCAATTACGTATTAGTCAAGTATGGGAAGTCAAGTATGGGAAGTCAAATGTGGGAAGAGTGGGCCATAATTGTTTAAAAGCAAAATCATAAAACTGTACCCTTATTCTTAATGTGAATACAGTTTCTTTCTCAAAAGATAAGAGGACATAGTTTTACAATGTGGTGAACTAAAACCATTATTTGAGCATTTTTATAATCTGTCTCATTTAAGAGACCTTGTATAGGTTTGGAGTGGTACTACTCTTTGAAAATGGCCACTTCAGTGGCTTCCCATTCCATACCAGTGTCTATGGACATCCAGAAAAGGAAATGTGGAAGAAAGAAAAACAAAAACAAAAGGTATAAGTAGCAACTTTAGCCTTTACTCAATTACCTTGGGAAATAGAATCACATTTCTCACTAAAATGGAGTACCTAAAAAGCATATTATGCAATAATAATGATTCAAATCTGAAGCAAAGAAGCTTAGGCATCCTGATGCTACATACTTAAAAAAAGTTTTAGAGGAGGTAATTAGGTTTATTTATTTATTTTATTTCTATTTTTAATGGAGGTACTGGGGATTGAATGCAGGACCTTGTGTTTGCTAAGCACGCATTCTACCACTGAGCTATACTCTCCCCCAACCCCGGCCCTGTTGTACATTCTAACTTCAGCACTGTATCTTGAATTTTCCACTGAGGCTGGGGGTTGCTCATAACTTACTTTCAGAACAAGCAAAAGTAAAAGCACAAGATAGTGGTCTAAGTGGCAGTGTTGGTAAGGAGCTGAAGTAGATATACCAGAGAAAATGAACATAGGAGGTGCCCACATGAGCCATGAAAATGGAACTCGGGCATTTGGCAATATTAGAGCACAAGGCAGTGATGAAGAGGGCATTGCTCCTTGACACAGGATGGGTCTGGAGGCCTGGCTCTTGTGTAGAGACAGTGGTGACTAAGTGAAGTGCCCTCTCACCCTTACAGCAGAACTGTGACTTCCACTCACATTGAATGAGAATTCCAGAAAGAGCCTGCTTGAACTTCTCCTTTGCTTCTTCCATGTCTTTCTCGTGAGCAGCTTTCTCATTCACCAGGCGGCGGACGTGGCTGTTGGCTGACTGGATCATGGAGTAGAAGTTGTTGGCGCTGCGACGGTTCACCTCTCCTCGTTCAATCCAGGTGAGCAAGGTCTGTACAGCTTCTGAGAATTTGGAATCATCTTTAAAAAAAGAGAATTCATTTTTAGAATCATCAAAAGTAACCAAATCTTGAACTCTTTTCCTAACATGCTGGCAAGGAGGTCGCCCTAGCTTTTTGGCAATGGTTGTAAAATGAATTGCTGAGGGTGAGGAACCATGCATGCACACGTGTGTGCACACAGGAAGCAGGTAAGCAGGTAGACTGAAAAAAACGAAAGACTCAAAAAGTAGTCAGGTTGGTTGTAGTCTAAGAAAATTTTCAGAAAAAGATTGTTTCTTCTTTTTTTAAACAAATTTTTCTTTACTGATACAGTTTTCCCATATTGCAGATTTCTTAACCTCTGATTGTACATGTGTGCATTGTGTAATGTATGAATTAGTGGTGAAAGAACTTCAGAATTCTACAATCTTATTTTTTTAATAAGAAAAAGTAACCTTGAGTCTTGAGTTCAGCTTGAATTTGACAGTAACTTTATCCTGGATCCACGGAATTACAATGTTGGAAGGAGCCTTAAGAAAAAGTTAAATGTCAATTCTTTAGGTATAAACATTTACATTTTTGACCTTTTGTAACATCACTCCTGCATTCAATACACAGCCACAGGCTTTCCACACAGTCCCAGTCACAATCTATTTTGATGTAATTCATTCTATTTCTACATTTCTCCACATCCTGTTTCTCTTGCCTGAGGAGACTTCCTTGTAGATTTGTACAGCTAGTTAGGAGTTATTCTCTGATGCTGAAATCCTAGCACAACTCTTCCAAAACTTCTGGTTCTGCTTTTTGAGATAGCCACTTATATATCTGCTGTTAAAGACTCCTGAGAGGGAGAGTCCATTAGCATCCCATTGAAGGCCCATTGTAGGGCTCCACATCCCTCTCTAGTCAGAAACCTTTATGACCAGTGGAAACATCTCTCACTGTAATTTGAACTTCTTGCTTCTTGCCTTTTTTTAGTGCGGACATATAATGAGAGGTCAGCCTCAACATTATAGCAGATTTTCATTTTACTATTTTCATACAGTCTTTACATTGATGCTCACTTAAAAATTGTTACTGATGTCTGGTTCATTTATTGATGCTCACTTTTTGCTTAAGGTCCACACAATCAGAAAATTTATTAAAAAAAATCAAACCAACTTGTTTGGTGTCGTGTGAACAAGTAAGCCTTGGACCTGGCATCTTACCAATGCTTTCAGCCTTTCCAGCTTTGAAAAATCTACCATTATTTCTGTGTCTCTATTTTGGACTCTGTGTTTTCTGCTTTTCTCTTACATGAAAACAAAATCAGTCCAAACAAAGAATTTCTTAAATGTGTGAATCCCTTAGGCTATATGGTGTAAACAAGTTTGGCGAATGAGAACTATTTGCGAAGTGGAATTAGCAGCATCTTGCTGAGTCTAGAGCACAAGAAGCAGGGAGAATTCATACCTTTAGAACTGGGTTGGTGTCATCAATAAGATCAATGGGACACCAGCATTCTTTCAATAAAATCAACCATACTCAGAGAATGAAAAAAACTGGATTTGAGCTACTAACACAGGAGACCAGGCAGGGCAATTAAGGTTAAATTAGTAAAATGGCTCTGAGAGTCAAGCAAGGGGAACAGGAATTAAAACTTAAAGGGAAAGAAGTCTGATTTAGCAATGTCTGAAAGTCTCTGTTGGTACTATGTGAAATAAGTTGGCCATTTTGTGATTAAACTAGTCCTCTTTTAGTTGGTGGTAGCTAAGTCTTTGAGTAATCTATGAAGAATGTACACTGCAACTACTCTGGCCCTCCACTTTCTCATCTATAAAATGGGATTTTATCATAGTTTTCCAGGGTCACATCAAGTTTTATCATTCTGATTTATTCTGATTTAGCATTCAGAACTAACTTGCTATCCATAACAAAAGTTGGTGGTGGTGGGGTAGCACTTACAGGTCCCAAGTTATGGATCACAGTTGATCTGATGTGTTAAAGTGGGAAAAACTTGTTTCTTCCTAGTTATATGATGTATGGTGAGAAAAAGTGTCATCACTTGAGACAGTGAAGGATCAGAGACATAGGTAGGAGGGACAAATTTTTTGTTTCTTAAATTACTAGGTACACCTCTATCTGCAAGGCTTCAACACAAGAACTGCTAAGAATCTACCAGTGGGAAATTCAGGGATAACTGCCAACAATACAAATATATTTATTAAATTTCCCCCCAAAAAAGGAGTTCTTCTAATCACAAAGCTCGAATGTTTTGTATACCTTTTAGTTTTTCAGCAACAACGCTGCATTCATGATCTGAATAGTGGACCACTGTGGGTGGGGATGGTGGGCGCAACCTTTCTTCTTCCATCCTTCTACGGTGGCGCTCCTCTCTTGCTAGCATACGCTGTTTGCATTCCCACTCGTACAGGTCATCTCGAGCCTGTGCAAAATCAACGTGGAGCCGGCCTGTGTCCTTTTTATCAGTGCTAGAGCCCAGGCGAATTCGGTAACCTAAGTGCATAAGAGGGAGAGAGAAGAGTAAAAGAGCAGCCCAGTGAGTGAGTAGTGGTACCTACCTTTCCAAGTTCCATGCTTCAGATGTGGTTGCAGTAGTTTCAAATGACCACATAACCCCAAATTCTCTCCCCACTACTAACAAGGTGAACCATCAAAACACTTGGATTAGAGTCTCATCTTGGATAATAGTGTATTATTCTATGGTTTGGGTCAGTCTTATTTGTTGGAGTTCCATACCTCCATCTGCCGCCTCACCTCTGGCACAGGGAGGCTCTATGGATAATGGTATCAAGAATAAGCTTTATATGGTGCCATAGGCTGGGAAGAATAGAAAAGTTGGCCTCAAACTGTGGTGTCTTTGGATAACTTCAAAAGTGTCATTCAAATCACCACTCAGAATTTTGATAAAATGTAAATGTATCAGCTAGACATTTCAACCCCCAAATTGCTTCCTAGGTGTATTTGGTGACTCTGAACCATTTTGGGGAGGGGCAGAAACAGATATGATGGGGAGTGGTATGTGATCCAGGTGACATAATTTGAGATCCTTAAAAACAGAGGTAGTGTGCTTGTAGTATAGTGGTATAGGACTAGGATTTAAAAATCCAGGATTCAAGTCCACCTTTTGTGCCAGCTATAGTACCCAAGTTAAATTTTTCAACAACAACCAAAAAAAAGTTAAGTTTTTAATTAACTTTTTAAGTTTAAAAAGCTGAGCTAGCTGCTTCCATACACATTTTAAAGACATTGGATATTAGGCAATGAAGATAAAAATTACTAAGAGACAAAAAACAAATGAAATGACCCCTATGATTTCCCCATCTTATTGCTTGGAGTTTCCAGGCCTTAGCACAGGGAGGGGAACTCAGGCAAAGCCTGGCGATCTCCCTGAGTTGAGGAGATTGAACTGGGAATCCAGGGAGACTGCGGAATACACAGTTTGTATGGCACAGTACTGGAAAGAAGAAAGCTACACAGAGAAAGAACTTCAGAGATCTGCAGAGGGCCATCCTCTATTATGAAGCTGATGTCTATGTGTGTGTATGGAAACTATCTGAGCATTAGAGGTAACAATCCCTGGAGTTCACATAGGACTGAAAATAGTTCCTTTTCACATTAGCCAGAGGAGAAAATCTAATAATTCACAGAGTATTGGATAGAGTAATCAGAAGAGTTTTGCCTTAGTGATGGAAAATTAGCCCTAGTTGGATTAAATTGGCCCTGCTGTGGTTCTGCTGAACAAAACTTATAAAAAACAAGACCTAAAAAGATAAAAATTTTTTCAGGTTACTTAACTATATCCCAGAGCAAAGCTCAAGAATACTTATAGGAATGAAAAATATTTGTCACATTCACAATGTCTGGTATCCAATAAAAAATTACCCAATATGCAAAGATACATGCAAATCATAATAAAGATAAAAATCAATCAACAAAACAGACCTAGAAGTGAGACACATAATCTAATTAATACATAAGGACATAAAAACAACTATTATAATCGGGTTTTATATGTTTAAGAAGCTAGAGAAAAGATTGAATATATTAAGTAGAAACAGAAAAAACATTAAAAAAAAGAATGACAGTCAATCTTTTAGAGATTTAAACTACAATGTCTGAGTTGAAAAAAATCACTGGACAGGTCCATTCACAAATTAGACATTGCAGAAGAAAATATTAATGAACTTGAAGACATAACAATCAAAACAATTCAAATTAAAATACAGAAAGAAAAAAACTGAAAAAAAAATGAACAGAGTACCAGTGAGCTGTGGGATAACTTCAAGGGACCATATATATGCCTAATTGGAGCCCTGATTGCAGACAGGGCAGGGAACAGAAAAAAATATTTGAAGAAATAAGGGAGGAAAAATTTCCAAATTTGAGGAAAACTCAGAGACCTAAGAATTTCAATGAATCCCACGCACAGGAAACATGAAGAAAATTACACCAAGGCATATCATAAATTTCTCAGCACCAGCAATAAAGAGACTATCTTAAAAGCTGCCATAGACAAAAGACACACTTTATGTACAGAGAAACCAAAAAGATAAGGATAACATCATATTTCTTGTTGGAAACAATGCAAACAAGAAGACAGAGAGAGAGGAAGAATACATTTCATAAGCAACCTTTGCTAGGGCTTACAGTTTACAATGCACTTCCACACCCACTCAACTAATTTGATCATCTGAGCCATCAGAAAAATGGAGCTATTAATGATTACCTTGACTACTCTCTCAGGATTGAGGAGAGAATCAAATGAGAGGACAATATGAAACCTCTGCATAAACACACACAAGATACTATGAAGCTACGAGGTGGTGCACTGTGCATAATGCCAGCTCCCAAAGATGGTCAAGCTTCAGTAGAAAAAAATGATTATTTCCACATTCCTATCTCCTTTTCTAAGGGGTTTTTGTTTGTTTTAACCTCTTTCTTTTACAATATGGGAGAACAGCCATCCAATTCAGGATATTTCTAGCACCTGTAAACTTCCAGGGAGCAGGTTCAAATTTAAAGGGAAAAATTAGTTGTTTTCACATCACTGATTGCAATCTCCTTTCCTTTGGCAGCTATGAGAATGTTTCCAGGAGGAGGCTGTTACCAGGGAGCTGATTTCAATGATGTTTAGATGGATGCCTTCTAAGCAGCATGTCGTCTTTTATGTACAACTGTTACAGGGCTTTTCAAGACCTTTAAGTTCATATTAAAACAGTCTATTGTGGAATTCTCTGTTATCATTGCTAAGGGTTATTAAACCTTCAGTAGTTATATTTTACAGCACTTACCAAATGTAAAAAGAGTATTCTTCATCTGCCTCCTCCCCTTTCCCATGTACAGCCTACTTTTTCAAACACTCATTACCTTTTCTTTGGCCTATTGCAACAGGTGTCTAACTGACCTCCTCTCCTCTTACCCATTTTTATACAGGGCTGTCAGATTAATCTTTCAGAAACAGTCATTTTCCTTGTTCAAAAATTTCTTCAACAATTCCTTATTATCTGAGGAGTAAAGACTCAACTGTTAAGCCTTTCAAACTGTGCTGACAACCTATGTCTTCCCTCCTTCTTTCATGTCTACTTAGTACACAAACCATTACTCATTGTTTCCTTGAATGTTCTTCAAAACTTACCACCTGTGTATCTTTGCTCATATTGTATACATGCCCCATTGTCCACATTCAAATGCTTTCTCTTTGCCAAAGACTTGCTCCAAATGCTACCTTTTTTGATACCCCTAGTCAGGAGCCAGAAATTTTCAATCTCTCTCTGTTTCACTCCTCCTCCCTCTGTATCCTCTGAACTTTCATAACACTTTACTCATGCTTCTTGTACAGCACACGTAACTTTCAATGCCATTATTACTAGCACTGAGTGTGTCTTATCAGTGTCTTGAACAATGCCTGGTACTCAGTGTTTCTTTAATAAATGATGACTGCATACTAACCCTAAGTTCATTAAGGGGCAGAACTAGGTTTTACTCATTTTCTACTGTGTACAACATTTAGCACAATAGTTTATACAAAGGAGATGTCCAACAAGCATCTGTTACATGAATGAAGATTCTGTCACCATAAAATGTCTAGCACTTGGACCCAATTCTTCCAAACTAGTAGCCCTAAGGAAAGGAAATAGCTAACTGTTCTATGTCCTTTCCAATTACTCTGTCTTATGCCTTCAGGCTTATTTATTCACTGCTCCATAAAGAACAATAACAATTCAAAATAAGCAAAGGATCAGCCATGAAACTTTATCTTGAAACCACCCTAAAAAGCAAAGGGCTTTACTTCATAATATTTAACAGAAATCATTCCAATTATAATTTCTTGCCTCAGTCTCCCAAAATTTGAACTTTTACCATAAACAAGAAACTTTATGCAGAGTAATTTTTACCGTCTCCACTCCAACTACCATAGTATATAAGCCACTATCACTCTGGGTTAGACCAATGCTATGATTAGCTAACTAAACACCAGTGACCACACTGGCCCATACCCTTCAGTACATCTTTACCCGGAAGTGATATTTCTAAAATGTATATCAGATCATGTCACTTTACTCCTTAAAATCCTCCAATGACTTCCCATTATATCCATAATAATAAACTCATCACTACAGGCATATCTCAGAGACATTGTGGGTTCAGTTTCACACCACCAAAATAAAGTGAATATTGCAATAAAGCAAATCACACCAGTTTTTTTTGGTTTCCCAGTGCATATAAAGTTATGTTTACAGTGTACTGTAGTCTATGAAGTGTGCAATAGCATTGTGTCTAAAAAATTAACCACCTTAGTTAAAAATATTTTATTGCTAAAAAATGCTAACCATCATCTGAGCCTTCAGTGACTTATAATCTTTTTGCTGGTGGAGGGTCTAGCCTTAATGTTGATGGCTGCTGACTGATCAGGGTGGTGGTTGCTGAAGGTTGGGGTGGCTGTGGCAATTTCTTAAAATTCGAAGACAACAATAAAGTTTGCTGTATCAATTGATTCATCCTTTGATGAATGATTTCTCTGTAGCATGCAACATGATTTGATAACGTTTTACCTATAGTAGAACTTCTTTCAAAATTGGAGTGAATCCTCTTAAACTCTGCTGCTGTCATAACAACTAAATTTATATAATATTCTAAATCCTTTGTTGTCATTTCAACAATCTTCATAGTATCTTTACCAGGAGTAGATTCCATCTCAAGAAACCATATTCTCTGCTCATCTGTAAGAAGCAACTTCTCAAACGTTAGAGCTTTATCATGAGATTGCATCAATTCAGTCACATCTTCAGGCTCCACTTCTCATTCTAGTTCTGTTGTTATTTCCACCACATCTGCAGTTACTTCTTCCACCAAAGTCTTCAAAGTCATCCATGAGGGTTAAAATAAACTTCTTCCAAACTCCTATTAATGTTGATATTTTGAACTCTTCCCATGAACCACTAATGTTCTTAATGGCATCTAAAATGGTAAATCCTTTCCAGGTTTTCAATTGATGTTCCCCAGATCCATCAGAAGAATCACTATCTATGGCAGTTACAACTTTATGAACTGTATTTCTTAAATAATAAGACTTGAAAGTTGAAATGGCTCCTTGACCCATGGGCTGCAGAAAGAATGTTGTGCTAGCAGGTACGAAAATAACATTAATCTCATTGTCCATCTCTATCAGAGCTCTTGAGTGACCAGGTGTATTGTCAATGAGCAATGATATTTTGAAAGGATTCTTTTTTTTCTGAGTAGTAGGCCTCAGAAGTGGGCTTAAATATTCAGTAAACCATGTTGTAAACAGATATTGTGTCATCTAGGCTTTGTTGTTCCATTTATACAGCACAGGCAGAGTAGATTTAGCATAATTCTTAAGGGCCCTAGGATTTTTGGAATGGTAAATGAGCATTGCTTTCAACTGAAAGTCACCAGCTGCGTTAACTCCTAACAAAAGAGGCTGCCAGTCCTTTGAAGCTTTAAGGCCAGGCACTGACTTCTCCAATCTAGCTATAAAAGTCCTAGATGGCATCTTCTTTCAATAGAAGGCTGTTTCATCTACAATGAAAATCTGTTGTGTAGTGTAGCCATCTTCATTAATGATTTTGAGCTATATCTTCTGGATAACTTGCTGAAGCTTCTACATCAGACTTGCTACTCTTATGTTATGGAGATGGCTTTTTTCCTTAAACCTCACAAACCAGTCTCTGCTAGCTTCAGACTTTTCTTCTGCAGCTTCCTCACCGCTCTCAGCCTTCACAGAACTGAAGAGAGTTGGGGTCTTTCTCTGAATTAGGCTTTGGCTTAAGGCGATATTGTGGCCTATCCAGAAAACTAAAACTTATGCCTTATCAGCAATAAGGCTGTTTTACTTTCTGATGATTTGTGTGTTTACTGAAGTAACACTTTCAAATTCTTTTAAGAACTTTTCCTTTGCATTCACAACTTGGCTAACTGTTTGGTGTAAGAAGTCTAGCTTTTGGCCTATCTCAGCTTTTGACATGCCTTCCTTACTAATCTTAATCATTTCTAGCTTTTGATTTAAAGTGAGAGACATGGGAGTCTTCCTTTCGCTTGAACACGTAGAGGCCATTGTAGGGTTATTAATTGGCCTAATTTCAATATTATTGTGTCTCAGGGAATAGGGAGGCCCAAGGAGAGGGAGAGAGATGGGGGTACGACCAGTCAGTGGAGCAGTCAGAATACACACATTTATCAGTTAGTTTTGCCATCTTATATGGGTGCAGTTTGTGGTGCCCCAAAACAACAATACTAACATCAAAGATTACGGCTTACCATAACAAATAGAGTAATAATGAAAAAGTTTGCGATATTGTGAGAATTACCAAAATGTGACACAGAAACATGAAGTGAGCAAATGCTATTGGGAAAATGGCATCAGTAGATGAGCTTGATGTAGGGTGGCCACAAACCTTCAATTAGTAAAAATGAAAATGCAGTATCTGCAAAGCACAATAAAGCAAAGTGAGGTATGCCTGTATAAATTACAAGACCCAACATAATTTGGTATTGTTTACTTCTCAGATTTTCTTTCCCTTCACTGCCTCTCTCCCATTTACTATGCTCCAGTCATACTTACCTTTTCTCTTCTGATTAAATATACCAAGTCCATTTACATCTTAGGGTCTTGGACTTGCTTTTCCTTATGTTGGAATGCATTCCCCCCAGATGTTCAAGTGGCAATCCGCTTCGTATTGTTCAGATCTCAATTCAAATGTCAGAGAAGACTTGCTTTCCTAGCCACCCCAGGTACGTTAACTCTTTTTATCTTCTTCATAACATTTGATTAGCTGATATTAATTTATTTGTTTACATACATATCATATTTTGCCATGTCCAGAATGTAATATGCCTGATGGCAGGAAGTTTGTCTGCCTCAGTCTTTGCTGTATCCTTAGCAACCAAGCATTCTGATTAGCAGTCAATAGATATTTGATAACTAACTGACTTCCATAGTTATTTCTGAGCACCTACTTTTGTGCCAGGTTACATGCTAGATGCTGGGGATTGAAAGTTAAATAAGACACAGTCCTTCCCCTAAGGAGTTCATACTCTGGGAGACAGGTGTGGAAAAAGACAGTTCTCATGTGATGTTATAGGTGTCATGTTAGGAGGAAGCACAAGGTAAGGCGGAAGCACTGAGGAAGGGGTGTTCAAACCAGCCTGGGGCAGAATAGGGAGAGAAGTCAGAGAAAGCTTTCTAGAAGAGGTTATGACTGAGCTGGAGCTTTAGGGTATGAAAATGTGGGTATGGAAAAGGTAATTCTAGTCAGAGGAAAAGGCCTATAACACCATGGGTACATTCTGGGAACTAGAATTAGTTGTGTGGTTAGGACTTGGTATGTGAAGGAAGGATTGGGAGATAATGCTAAGAGGTAAAATGGATTATCAAGGCCTTTAGATGCCACAAGTAAAGAATTTTGGAGTTCTCCCATAGGCAATTGGAAAACTAATATATATATGTATATGTATGACTGAAACATTATGATGTATACCAGAAACTGGCACAACATTGTAAACTGACTATATTTCAATAAAAAAGAAACTACTTGAGAACTTTAAAGGAATACCTTGGGTAGTAACATGCATCTTCCATCTATGAAGGTAAGAGGGGTTGCCGTTAAGCCCCAACTTTAGCTGTCACAGATGCAGATACACTGATCCCCGATGTCTGTGTTGTGCCTGATGGGCACAGTCCTTATGACTGAACACCTACCAGAAAGATAAAGGGCTTTGTCCACCATGTACTCCTCAGCAAAGCGAATGTGACAAAAGTTTTTTTTGCTCTTCCGAATAGCAATGATCTCTCCACACTGCTCAAACACTTCCACGATGATCTGCTCTGTCCCATTTTCAGGCAAGCCGCCCACAAATACCGTTTTGCATCCTGGTGGTCGTTCGCGAGTTGCAGGAGGTGGAAGATCTAAGTGTAAGTGCAAAAGCATTTGAAATTAAAATGTTTGTGTGGAATGGACCTGTTAAAAACTTGACATGTCCCAGAGATAGCCCTACTGTCCCTGTCACACTTTTGCCTAAGAGTGCCAGAAGCATGTGGCCTCCAAGGGGCTCACCTCTGCTCCACAGCAAGTTGGTTTCATGAACCTGAGAATTATTTTATTCAATGGTTTGGTGACCGTGATGTATATATACAGGATAAAGACTCAGACCCATCTGTCCCATCAAAAGTTCTTTAATTTTGTTGTGACAACCCAGCTATACCCAGCTTTTGGTCATTTTTATTAAGATGACAGTGAAGGGAAATTCCACTTGGTTTAAACTTTTATTCTTGGGAATTCTCAGAACCAGGGTCCTTGAGAGAATGATTTGTTTAATTCAGTTTGTAGTTACCGTATTCTCTCTGTTCTTGTTTACTGAGAGAATGGCTTCAGGATAATTTGACAGTGATGGGATGAACATTTATAAAAATGTTTATAGCTATCAGAATGATTTGGTTGACAAAATCAGCCAGAATACAGACCACCTCTTTTAGGTTTTTTGTTTTTTGATACCAGTGAGCTCCTCTTCAAATTCTTTGCTGGAGAGGTGAAGTCCAGAAGCTGATTAAGTGTCATTTAGAAGGAAGTATGAAAGACAGCAGAGAAAGTAAGCTTGTCTGGGAAATCATTAAAGTGAGATAAATTTGGCTGTACAGAGTTATTTAAAAAACTACTTAATGAGACGATTCTCTTTTTGCTTAAAAAATATGCTTTCTATCACTTATCTTATACATAAAGCCTTTCGTATCTGCCAGCTCTTTGTTGCTATTTATATGCATCAAAGTATTTTCCAAGCAAAATCCTACAGTTCATAGCCCAACAAAACAAAGCATGATGGTCAAGGGTTTTTCTAGTGTTGGTTTTGTATCTGCAAGGATTTATTTTGTGTAATCCATTCTTTCCATTCAGCTCTTAACAATAATTCTCCCAGCTCAAGATTTGGAGAGCTCACCAACCAGTGATTACAGCTCACATGCAAAATTAAATGAGTCTCAATTGTAGATTAGGCCAAGGCCCCCACCTGACTCTTATCCAAGTTGGCACACAGATGATTTGAGAGCTTCCTTGGCTATCAGCACCTCAAGCTTCCTCACTTTGCTACTGCTATCTATTTAATGAGCGTGGGTCAGAATAATCAAGTTCTCATGATATCTTCTTTCCCTCTATTTAGGCAATAAAAGAGGTATTCAGAGAACTTACGAAATTTCTGTTAATATTTTTAATGTCTATAATTTCAAGAACTCACTGTATTGGGTTTTTTGTTCCACAGGAGAAGTTTAAAGGGAAAAAGAAGATAACCTAGTGAGCAGGAATCTGAAATATCTTAGTCATGGACACTGGAGAGGTTATAATTTTAGCCAAAAAGGGAAAAATGAAGTCCAGAATCTCTTGAGACTTATGCTCTGAGTTTTTAAGATCTGGAAAGAATTCTAAACATCATACTTTCAGTGACTCTCAACTCTGGCAGCACATTAGAATCAACTTTGGAGTCAAACAAACAATGCCTGGGTACCACTCAAATGAGTCTGATTTAATTAGTCTGGACAGACTGCACATGCACATTTTTCAAAGCTCCTCAGGCAACTGTAATGTGTAGCTAGGGTTAAAAACCACTGACTTGGCCTAAATTTCTAATATTACAGAAGAAAAACCTTACCTGAGTGAAGTTGAGTGACTTATTCAAGGTCACCAAATTAGATGAAAAGAGAAGGAACATGAACTTGGAGCAGTTAAACCTGAATTTAAACTTTAATTACTCACTGTTTGTATGACCTTGGGAAAATTACATAACCTCTGAGAACCTCATTTTTTCATCTTAAAATAGGGATACTGTCCTCTAACTTACAAGAGTTGTTGTAGGATAATTGATAATCTACTGTCTATACTGTATGTTATACAATGCCTACGCTAGATAGGTTCCTAATAAATTGTAGTTATTATAGCATTATTATTATTTACTATTATAGATCCCAGGTTTCCTAATTACCAATCTGAGGCTTTCTAAAGCCCTACCACAAGTCTGAAGTTGAGTAGCACCTAAGACCTGGACTTCCAAACTCTCAGCTCATTGTTTTATCTAGATCTTTAGATAAGGCTGGATTTGGGAAGAACTCACTCTTATTAGTAGAGATACTGTTACCGAACCGAACTTGGTTCTGCTTGCCCATCCCTCCACTCCCAACAGGAAAGCCAATCTACTGACACTAGGTTGTGCTGAAGGAAAGTACAGCATTTATTGCAAGTGCCAAGCAAGTAGAATGGGCAGCTTATGCTCAAAAGACCTGGCTTTCACAGAAGGGTTTTTTAAGGCAACATTTGTGGTGAGGGCTGCAGGGTACAAGACTTTCTGATTTTCCTTTTTTCTGTATTCTATCACTTTTCCAATTAGTAGCTGCTTGTGCCTGCTCTTTGGAACTTAGGGAAGGCCTAGGAGACCAAAGCCTTTTTCTACAAAACAAAACAGGGGACATGGAGGGGCTTTTGTACCCTGGTAGGCTCTGCAGGGTCCTGCTCGGTTTCAGAATCTACAGCTGTGAAGACACATATAATTTTGACCATGGAACATAACCTAGTCATTAACTATATAGGTAAAGAATTTTCAAGAACATCCATTTAGCTAGAGCCATGTTTTCAAATCTAAGAATTTGGAATAAAATTCTGTCTTAGAATCATTCTGAAGTTTACTGTTTAAACAATTCCAGTGGTAAAGAATCTTTCTGTGAAGCAAATATTCACCTTTTTATATTATTTGAGTTAGCTTAGTTAGGTCTACCTTTAGGTCCATTGAGAAACTCTAAGGAATGTCTGGTTACAAGTGCAGTTGCATATAACACTGACAATACAAAGGCTCTTTCCCTTGACTCAATTTGTGGGATTTAAAAATTCTGTGATGAAATCATTACCCTATTTAGATGCTGTGATTATTCTGTGGTGACTGTCTGCTAATTAAAGAAGCATAAGAGCCACTAAGAGTAGTGTCAAGAATGCTGGGGATTTATTTATTTTCCTTGGGTAAATGTAGAAAGCCTCTTTGATAGCATTTGCTGAGATTTAGGTGTACGCCACCAGCAAGGCAATGGGCTGTATTATCTATCTTCCTTAATGGATAGTACTTGTTCTTTAATTAACAGCTCAAAGCACTTTTTGGTTTGGGCTTGATTTTCTAATCCCACTGAAATACAGTGATCTGGGCACAGCAGTGGTAACTCTGTAGGGGAGAAAATTCAAAGTCCACCTACTAATCAGGTAATGTGCTAAGCTCCTGTAACACCCCAATCACCACTCAGGATGGAGAAAAAGAAACTTCCAAGTAAAAAGATTCAAGATAACTGGGAATATAAAGAAGTCTAATCTCTGGTAATGGAAAAGGAGGAGCTTCTAGCAATTCTAATTACAACTAAGCACCCACTCTGGGGAGCTGTGCTGGGGCAATCAGCATTAAGATCAAAGTCACTGCTGATCTTTGAGAAGTGAGGCATGGAGCAGCATAGAGGCCCTATAAACCACTTGCATGTTGCTTTTCAAAGGAGCATCACAGATCATTCAACTGGTTTGCCAGAATTTACGTACTGCAAGATCTTTGAGTTGATTTTATTAGACAGCCCAAGATTGAAGGTCCCCTAGACAATCAGCAGGGGTTGGATATATTTTAATGTAATCCCAACTCATTGGAAGTAATCAGAAGGCCAGCAAATCTTTATTGATTCTAAATTTATCCACTTTCTCTAATTTTCTTTATAGAACCCAGGCCTAGGGGTCAAAATGAGTTCAGCCTGTTTTGAGATAGTAAAATGAAAAAAATGCTCTTTTTAAATTTTGGCTCCTGGGTGCCTTCCCATGTGCCTGCACACAGAGAGCAGATGACATTTCACCATTTATTCCACGTTCACTGTTATTTCACAGTAGATGAAAAATGCAACCTCTCCATACAGAAGGTCTATCAGCTCAAGTGAAAAATCTTGACAGAATTGGCTTCTCTGGAGAGAGGGTCCTGCCCTCTTCTTATATTACCAACTGAGAACTGTTAATTGGAAATGCAATAAATCTGTGATAGCCACCCTGCGATAAAAAGTAACCGTGTTCCAGAGAGCTTTCTTTTGTCATGTCTCTGACTTCTAGGAATCAGAGGATGTTGCTTCTAGGACAATGGGGTACTCACTTACCATTTATCTTTAGTTCACTGGTGCACAGTCAGCTCCTTTCTAGTTTGATCCATTGGATTTTTAGACCAGAACTGATTTTGCCTAGTCTAGATCAGAAAGGTTAAGTTACTTACCTGGATCTCATAGCTATTTAGTGATGGAGATATGGGATATGAAACCAGGCCTATGTCACTTTGGGACTCTTAATTATTATACCATATTGTAGGAGTCAAAGTCAAAGAGACAATGTGAGAGAGTCAGAGCAGATCATGAAGGTCCTTCTGTGCCATTAAACAGACTTTGGCCTTTATTGTGAGTAACATAGGGTCCATTAAAGGGTTTTGAGTAGAGAAGGGACATGATCTGACTTAGGTTTTTAAAAGGATCTCTCTGCCTGCTTTCTTGAGAATAGACTGTAGGCGCAAGGGTGAAAGAAGAAGAACAATTCAAAGGTTATTGCAATATCTGCAACATTGCAATTGCAGAAAATGTATTATGGTGGATATAAACTGGGTCATAGCAGTAATTATCATGAGACTATTAGAATTCTAGATGTATATTTTAAGGTAGACCTGATAAGAGTTTTCTAGTAGATTAAATATGGTGTTTGAGGGAAATAGAGTAGTTAAAGATTACCTTTAAGTTGTGACTGAGCAATGGAAAGGATGCAGCTGTCATTATCTGAGATGGAGACGGATACTAGTGTAAGTTTGGGGGCTAATAGTAGGAGTTTTGTTTTGGACCTATTAAATTTGAGATATCTACTTGACATCTAAGTAGAGATATTAAATAGGCAGTTGGATATGAGTTTGGGGTTCAGAGGGAAGCTCTGAGCTAAAAACATAATTTAGGGTATCACTGGCATACAGATAGCTTTTTTTTAGCCATGAGATTGTATGAAATCATCAAAGGTATGAAAACAGACACAGAAGAGGTCCAAGGACTGAGCCATGGGGCTCTCCAATCATAAGAAGTCAGGGAAAACAGAAGGTTATCAGCAAAGGAGGCAGAGAAGGAACAACCAGTGTGGAGGGGAAAAAAACCCCAATATTGTGGTGTCCTGGAAGCCAAGTAAAGAAAGTACATCAATGAGTAAGGCGTAATCAACTGTGTCATATATGGCTACTAGATCAATAAGGAAGATAACTGAGAACTGACCACTGGATTTAGTATTGTAAGGCCATTAGTGATCTTAAACAAGGGACATTTAGGGGTGGGGCGAAAGCACAAATGAAGAAGATTTAAGAGATGAGGAGAACTGGAAACAGCTAGTAAAGATTAAGTCTTTTGAGGACTTTTGCTGCTAAGAGGTGTACAGAATGCAAACTTCTCTTTCTCTTTTAAATTTTGAGATGTTAGAATTCCTTAGGGTGCTCTTTGCTTGGTCATCCTCCTCCTTGATGTATGTAATCTCTCTGGTGGTCATTCTAATACCTTCAAATGACCTAATGTTTCAAGAAGGGTGAAGGAGTTATTAGTTCTAAACATGGCAGATAAGCTAATTAAAGATTAAAAACTATCTCTTGGATTTAGCACCTAATATTTTAGTGGAAATGCATTAGAACGAGTAACTACTGTTCTAATTTCAGTACCTTCCACATGGAAGTGTTTGGGAGAAAGTAGGCTTGGAGTTGGGTTGGAGAGGAGAGTAAGATTAGGAAGCAACTGAACTTGACTAAATGGTGGGTAAATGGCAAGTAGAAATGATAGATTGAAGATGGTCACATAATGCTGTAGAGGCAGACAAATTAGGATCACTAAGACACAGCATTGCTCACCACCCAGTTCTACAAGGATTAAGTCATTGGCCTGCAGTCGCTGACCAACAGTGCACCCTGAGAGGAATTAAGGATGAAAAGAAGAATGAGGCCCTATGGGCTTTGGACAAGCAGGCCCCATGAACAGTTAGATGTGTATCTCAGGAAGAATTTTAATGGCCCCAGATTCTTGCAGCTTCCCATACATAAGAAAGCACTAAAATCATTAACTTCAGAGATCTAGTCTTTGTGATTAGCAGTAATCATTTACTAAGATGTATGCTCAACTGCATGTATTTCCTAGCCAAAAATCACAGATGAACTGGCCTCCCCCTACCTGTTTGGAGTAGTTTTACTCAGAGCAAACTGAGTAGCTATCTCTCATGCTCTAGTCCTCAGCAAGACCCTGAATAAAACTAAAACTCACAACTCTTACGTTGTGTGTCTTTCTTTAAGCTGACAAAGCAGACCAGTGAAAGACTTTCAAAGTCCAGGATTTGGACTCTGAATCTGTGGGCAATGGGAGCCCCAGGACTTTTAGAGTTCTGTATGTGAGACCAGCACCTGGATGAAATGTAGGTGTGAGAGAGGGGAAGGAATTAATGGTAAAGATACTTTCTAATGAAGCAACAAGACAGAAGCAGATCACATGGGTGCATAAAGAGACTGTGAGAGTCCCTAAATCGCAGGACCTTATTGCTGAGAAGCCACTGAGTGGAAAAGAATATACCAGAGACAGACAGGAGTAAGTACTAGGGTTTATAGTCAAGGCCTTTTAAGACAGGGTTGGTGGGCTCTGGAGAAGATAAGTCAATCAAACCAAATCCCTACTCTTCCAATCACACCTGCTCTTTCCATCTCACCTTCACAGAGTCTTGGGGCTGTTAACAAAAAATGGCACTTTTGCATGCTCTCAGCAGGGAACTAAGGGAGGCTTCTCTATTAGTGTTTCCCTGCCCAAGTAACCTGAGCCCTCTTTCGACAAAATTCAAGTTCTGAAAAGGAAATAGAATACCAGTTTATGCTGTCAGGAGTGTTATATTTTGAATTCAATTCCAAAGCAAGATTTCTTCCCAGAAGCCACCACATTACAGGCACTAATTGCCCTGTCAGCATTCTTTAATACAAAAATGAAGAACTAAAAGATTGAGCCATGAAGCTAAAATGCTTCCCTCTCCCTATGTGGAACTTCCAACTCAGAATTATGAAGGCATGGCTGTAGGTGGGGAAAGATAAATGTATTTAAAAGGTGTGTTTCTGCTTGTTTTACTAAAGACTATCAAAAGTTAGAGCCTCTTTAAGCCATATATGTCTATATTCATTTAAAGACTGCTCAACAACATGGTCTATGTGTTACACACAGAAGTGTGGGTGCCATTTTTGGTAAATTCAGAGACAGCATCCTGTAAAGTCATCTCTTGCACTCAGCCTAGACATTACAGGTTATGAACCATCCTGTTTGATTACACCTGATTGAGACAATGAAAGCCTAGTGCAGGCTGATTATGCGATAAATGAATGATTAAATCAGCAGGATTCTACCTTTATATAACCAGGAGGTGTTAACCCTGGCAATGCCTAAATTCATGGATTTTTGAAGTGAAAAAAGGTAGTATCAAGTATGCACAACTTTCTCTAAGAAGAAAGGGGAAAAAGTCCATCACCCATTTGTAGGGATAGTGGCACTAAGAGTAAGAGACAATGGTATAACAGTGTTGCTCATTCACCTAAGCACTAAATACAAATCCAGGAATGGCCACTTGAGTTGGCAGGTGAGGCCTAACAGAGCCATCTTATTCTTCATTTCCCAATTCTCCTGTTACATGCTAGCTCTTCTCTCAATCTGGTCCCCTGACATGATAGCCTTCTAGATTTCTTATTGGTCTGGAAGGAAGTATGCTACCAACAACCAAACTCAAAGATCTTCAGAAGGCACTGAGAATATTTTTCATTAGAAAAAGGGGACAAGATAACTTGTCCAACCAACCCTGATTGATTTTAAAATCCTCTTGGTTATGAGCAGACCATGCCAAATAGAATATGCGTCCCTGCCAGGGCTTGATTCCATGATTAACTGATTCCTATGTAAGGTGGGAGATGAAATAGTTGTCTGAAGTCCCACGTCAAAGGTTCATGTTTATCATGATCAGGCAAGTTCATTTGCTCTATGGCCTGAACCACTGAGTGTGTCACTTAACAAACAGCTTTAATCCCTCAGCCCTGTAGTGGTGGATTCCTTAAATAGGCCATCCAGCACCACTAGAACTGTGGGAAAAGCTTTAATGAGGTTTGGGTCATGTGCAGAAATAGCTACTGATCATTTAAAGTAAATAAAACCCCATATAGATCTTGAAAAAAGTTTGACTCAATCATTACTGCTGCTGCATTTTAACTGACAAGTGACCACTGTAGCTTTGCAGATGTTTTTAAGGAAAAACCTATTCATTACTTACAAAGATAGATCCCTATATCATTTCCACATGAACTGCATTGACTCGATGGCTGAAAGGAGTTTGACTCAGTCTTAGTATTCCTCTTTGCCCTCACAGTAAGTTGAAACTCATCTCACTGTCTATCACAACCCATCAACAAATAGCAGTAGTTTGAGTGGTGTGTGAATAGCTGGTAGCAGTGAAGGATTTTTAGCATCAAATGTATATTCTCTTGTGCCTCAGGTAGGCTCAGAACACACTTTATTTCTGCCATCACAGCATCTAGGCCAGTTATGAAAAGGAGAGACTGCAAATGACAATGTTGAGCAGTTTGTGTCAGGTGCCTCCTTCTATACTAATGCACTTGAATTCCTTACCAGACGACATTAGAAATGTTTTATCATTTGTACTGCAACCAACACACAGAAGTCTACTCTTCTGTGCATAAAATTCAGACCTGCTCAGTAAGAGAAAATTTTCCTGTTTTCTAGGTGAGGTTTCTGTACATAGATCTATGAAGCCCTTGGGTATTCTTTTGGAAAAGAAGAAAGTGTTCCTAGATACCAAAAGATTGGGACATGTGTGGAGAAAAAGCAGAATATTACTTGGATTTGGAGGGAAGAGTGTGCAGCTTTTACAGTGTATGATCTCTTTTACTACTGGCATATCTGGTGGAATTGGAGGAGGTACTATTCCCAAGCCAGGCATCATCGGAGTTATTGGTGGAATTCCAGTCATCATTCCAAGAGCAGGATCAAAGTCTAAAAAAGGAGAGGAAAGAGACAGCAATAAATTACACCAGGCAAGGTCATGCAGAGGCAGAATGTTACCTTATAAGCTTCAAACCAAAGGTCTTCCTAAGACAGAGGCAAAATATTTAACAAAACATGTTATTAGCATTACCAGGTCTTAAATATCATAATTATGCATTTTCCTATTGGGCTGGGGCTGTTCGTTTTCGTTTGACCAGTGCCTATTTGTCTCTACATCTCATTTTGACATCCAAGGCTTTTTGTAATTGTCTACTGATCTTGCCCTCTGCAAGTTTCCAACACGCACCCTCTGCTCCATTCAGACAAAGCTTCTTGCTGTCCCTTGTAACACTTCCTGTCTTTCTGCAGTAAAGCATGGTGTTAAGCGCACACAGTTTTGGAGATCAGGCAGACCTGGGTCCCAGTTCTACCATTTGCTTAGCAGGATGAACCTTTTGAACCTCCATTTCCTCATTTGCAAAACAGGATTAACTACCTGTTCTTATACGGAGCTGTTAGGAATAAACAAAATGATGAATGAAATGTGCCTAGCATAATGCATAGCACAAAAATGCTCAACAAATAACTATTCTCATGTTGTTCTCCGTGCCTTCCTGAAATCCTTTGAGCCTCCCCAAATTCTCCCCATGCTTCGAGGCCTGGCTTCAAGTCCCACCCTCTCTGAAGAACACTTCCAGATAATTCTGGTTCATTCTTAACTCTGTGTCTGAAAACCGCTCTACGATTGTTGCCACTGAATTTTATTTTGTATCATCTTTTGTTTCATTCAACGATGCTTCTAGGACATGTGGGGGATCCAAACAAATATTTTTGTGGGGCTTGTCTAAATACACATCTTGAGTCATCTTAAAATCACCATCAACACTATTCTGGTAGCCCAACCTCATGTGATACCATGAAACAAATACCATACCAGCCAGCTGGAATGATTTGCTTGCCAGAATATTCTCCTGGAACCAAGACTCTGGGAGAACTCAATAAGCATGAGTTCAGAAGCTTCTTGGGGCATCTAGTTGACTCCACATGTGGGGTAGAGGATTGAAGAGTGCCTCAAAGGGGAGAGAGGGGGTCTGGGGTCCACATAGGTTCAATTTTAGATTGGGACTCCTTACGTAGCTGACACTGCAAGCCTTGGTCAGTCGAGACACTGGAGGGGAACACAGAAAATTTTGAGAAAGATGCTTCTTGCCATCAAGACCCACAAAGAACCTCCTCTGGATTTGGGGCACTTGCCCTGATGGTGCTATCTACCTGGCCAGTCCTCAGCACTGGAGGGGGACTTAGAAAATATTGAGACAGTCATTCCAAAGCATGGGACCCCTGAAGTGAGGGCCCATTGCAGGGGCCCCACTTGCTTGGGTCTAAGGGCAGTACACTGTTTACATTTTGTCTCTATATCAAAATGCAAGTTACTTGAAAAAAAAAGAAGTGCATTCTATTTCATTTCCCCATCTCTCACCCCTGCCCTCTGTTACAGAATGCATGGTGTACTGCAAAGTATTGTATAAGGACTTCTGATAATGTTGGGGTAGTTGTGACAACAGTAGCAGGTCCTAGTCCCCCCAACTTTACCTTGCTCACCACTTAGGCCTGAGGGCAGTGCCTTTAACCATGTCCTCCAGGTGGCTCTGAATCCCCTGAGTAGCTCTCTAAGATGTGGAAAGAGGAGTATCTAAACAGTGAGAAAAGTCTGCAATTCATACAGAAGCAGAACTTTGGGTATAATGGGCCCAGGAGGAAGGAGTCTTGTAACTGGGCAGATAGGTGGGTGGGTGGCACCTGGGCATCCCCCATTGCAAGCCAGCCCAAGAGAGCTAGGGCATTCCCCATCCTCCCACATGCCTGTCATGCTGAGACTCCAAGACCTTGAATATATTTGGGGAGGAAATATTTTCTTCTAAGAAGAAATTTTATTTTTCTGAAAACAAATTTACTTTTAGCCCCCATATGTTATCTCACCCAACATGCAAATACACACGCGTGCCTTCCTTTCCTTCCTCCCTGTGACTCTTACCTCTCTACTGTTCCCCATATGCTAGTTATATGACCTTGAGGGACGTTTCTTAATATCTGTGTGCCTCCATCTCCTTTTTGGTAAAAGTAGGAATAAATAATGACGTTTAGCTCAAAGAATGGAAGGCTAGAACTGATAATGAAAACCTCTGGTATGATAGGTGGTGGTCCTGATAGTTTCCCTCGTTCCAGTCAAAACATGCATACACACACTAATAAATTCACTGATTCAGGCATTCACTTCCACATCCCACAAACACCTGTGATAGTCTCCTGTATGTCAGGCTCTATGCAGGTGGGGGCAGGGGGCCTAGGTCTTTTTTTCCATCTTGCAGAACTTAAAGCCTCTGACATTCTGTGCTCCTATGCTGTAGAACAGGAACTGTGGTTAAGAATGCTGTTTGTGTCTTTGGAAAATTTGATTCCTTGTATATAAGTCTTTGGAAAAATTGTTAGCATTATCTCCCCCATTTACAAACTGTTAATTTTCAGTAGGTAAAGATCAGATTAGATTGTGTGCCAACTAAACAATCCCATACATTTTCCCCCTCCTACTGAAATGTTTGTCTTCCTTTTATTGTTCTGCCTGCCTCCTCATTGTTATTCATATAGTTCTGTCACTCACAGCTCTACCTTACCACAGATTACAGAAATATCAGTTCATTAAACAAGTTCTGCCACTTCGACTGAGAAAGAAACGCCTGTCTCCATGTACTGTCTACTAATAAATGGAGACAAACAAAAAACAAATACACAAGATAAATTTAACTCCTGACTGATGTACTCACCACTCGGCTGTTTGGTGTGATTACATTAATATTTTATGAAATTCACTTAAAAGCAAGTATATTCATGACATATGGCTAAAGCCAGCATAGATAAACTCCCTTTCTTCCTTATGTTCAATATGCCAACAGTTCATAGGTACACTGCCCAGAAGGGCTTGCTAGAGGGCAGGTTGTACATTGTACATGATATTTCAAGGGCTCCTATCACATTTATTATTTCTTTTGTTTATCTGCAACCATTAAGCACCAAAGTAGACCTGAATTTCCAATACCAACCAAGAAAATAACCATTTGAAATCATAGCTCTCAGACAGTATTTTCAGAATCTGGAAAAAAAAATCAAAGAAATTCAACAATTTAAAATATATTGGGAGTAGACCCGATAAATTCTCTCCCTTTTCCAGATCCTGCTCTGCCTTGAGGAGTACAGCCAACAAGTGCATATTACGTCTTATGTTGGGAATTCAAACTTCTGAATGAGATTTGAAATCATTTTATAAAAGGGTTGTGGAAAAGGCCAAGGTATTCGCCTAAAGTCCTTCCACAATAAATATGCTGTTCTGTTTTGCTTTTACTGTCTCTTCTTCTAACACCCTTCCCCTGCCCCCTTCTTGACTCTTGGCATGGCCATTGGTGGAAGTGTCATAAGATGTTGGTTTTTAGTCCCTCTTCTGATTTATGTACTTTCCAAAGTCCCAGCTTACTGGAAATGCTGCAAATGCTGTGTGTTAGTTGGGCCAGCTTGCTCCTCAAAGTTGCAGCTCTATTAACATGATTTCAAGTAATGTTTCAGTATAGCCTTAAGCTTTCCTGCTGCCTAGCAACTTGCACTTAACTCAACCTAGAGTAGTTATGTAGCAATGTTATCATCCTTCATTCTCTGTGCACATCTGAGCCACGGAGCTACAACTGAGGCAAATGTTATGTCTGTGCTGCCACCCAGTCACCCTTATGTCTATCCATTTATATGTCCTTCAATACTTTGATGCCAGGCCCTCTGCAGGTGTGGGTTGAGGGAATGAGTAACACAGAATCATTAACCTCATAGTTTAGTTTGGAAACAGCCACACTGTTAAATAACTACAATGCTTTATTATCAATTATCACTTTGTTTATTGCGTGCTTACAATGTGCTAGGAGCTATGCTAAGCATTTTATATAATCTCATTCCAAAAGACCTGTGGTCTAGGTACTGTTATTATCCTTCATTTTATAAATAAAGAAACTGGGGCTCAGAAAGGTTTAGTTACTTGCCCAAGGTTACACAGCCAGTAAGAGGCAAGACCTAGGATTCAAATCCAGGTTGGTATAACTCTAATGTTCTTAACTATAGCACTGCCTTTCAATGTAGTATGACAATTGTTTTAATCAGTTAATTTAATTACAGGTATAAGGTGAAGCAGGTATGCTGAAAAGCATGGCAGATGAACAACAAAATACTTTTACATAATTCCATTTTCCAAGTGTGGTGGATTAAAGGTGGATATAAATTCTTTGATTCCCCTCCTATCTGTGGTGAAGTCTATGCCCCACTCCCTTAAGGATCTGAATGGGCTCTAGAACTACTTCGACCAATAAAATATGGAAAGAAGGGATGTTGTATCCATTTTCTTGCCCAAGCCTTAAGAGAGATAAAATTTCCATTTGTCTCTGGAAACACTTGCTATGAGAGCTTCAGTCACAATGTAACATGTCTGACTACCATTCTAGAGAGATGACGTGCAGAGGGCCTTAGTGTAAATGGGAAGGGAGGAGCCCAGCTGAACCCAGTGTTTTATCTGTCCCTGCCAAGGTGCAATGCATATGAATGAAGTTGTCTTGGAACTTCCAGACTAGCCCACCACAGCTGAGGCATCCCAGTTGATACCATATGGAACAGGATTGTCCATTTAAGTACTTCCTCAATTTCTTCATCCAGAAAAATCTTACAATGTAATAAAGTGATTGTGTTTTAAGTCACTAAATTATAACGTGTTGGCCATGCAGCAATAGGTAAGCAGAATATGCAGCATGCCTGAGGAGTGGGGTGTGACTGGTTAGTAGAGTTAGCTGTTTTCAAATAATGAAAATAGAAAGTACACCAAGCAGCCACCTAGATTGACATTATTTTTCTGATTATTGAAATGGTGCTTTGGGACCCAGCAGGGCCCCAGAGCCACTGCCTTCAGCAATTGTTGTCACTGTACT